GTTGAATCAACATCATTTGGAGTACCAAGTTGACTTCCATTAAAAAAAAATTTTTTTTAATATTCAAGTCCCCCTATTTGATGTTTTTTTTTTCATTGTTGTTTAAGAAAGCAAACATCAAGGTTATAGGGAGGCACTCACAATGTAAGATTTTTTTTGAGGATTCTTCTGTTAAAACTTGTGTATCATTTCAGCTGTAAAGTTGTTCTCATCATTTATATCATCGTTTAAGGTTTTAGTTGTGTTGTCATGGCAACAAAGTTGTACAATTGGATAGAAACGGTTAGTAAGTGACACTAAAATCATGTTAACACACATATTGTTCACATTTTTGTTGCTATGCTATTGACACTTTCAAAATGGCCCCATTCACTTCCATTGTAAATGCCTCACTGTAACCCAGCTTTTAAAAAAAGAAAAAAAGAGAAAAAGGAGAGACAAGTGAAATACATTTTTGTGGTGATCAATATTATGCTGTAATGAACTTGGAACATTACTTTAAATTCTTTATTCTAAAACAGGACTCTGCTTCTGCTGGTCTAAGTTGGGAATCAGATATTTCACCTGATCTAGGTCACCTGATAAACAGGAATGCCAAGCTATATTGAATTATCTAGCATAGATGGATACAGCAAAATGGCTTCTTGATGCTCCGCACACACACACAAATCTCTGCCGGTGCTTGAAATAACGCCTCACAGCGTTTCCAAACCATCTCTGAAACACTGCTGTTTTGAGTAAGTTGTGTCAGGAGCAACAAACAAACAAGAGATGTATTTATCACATTTAGCATCATAGCACATCAAAGCCAAAGACTGATTACAAGATCACATGTGCGTAAACTTTTCATTTATTACAGTTAGATTCTAGCTAATGCGAGCCAACAAAGTCAGGTTATTTTACAAAACATTCTGAAAAGGTTTACAAAAGCGTCTTGCAGTCTCGGCTTTGCTGCTGTTCAGTAATCCACTAAAAGTGTCCTCTAGATAGCAGATGAGTGTAACAAGGGCTCTGCTTTGTTGCTTTACATAAAACAAGCATTGAGATGGAATAGTGCTTGATTGTTTCCTTCTTCCACGGCACATTAGACAATGGATGATCTTTACAGAAACGTGTAGTCACCTATGACAGGATTCATATATAAACAGGAACTCTATCAAAGTATAACTTTAATGTGAAATCTAAGAAAAGCAATGATGTACGCATGTATGTAAAGTATGTATGCATGTAAAAAATGTAACTACCAGCCCTGACAAGTTGACAACAGTGGTGCCTTTCATTTCAGTGTAATGAAAACAGCGGATGTATCTGATTTCAAAGCCCATTACTGGCATTACTGAACCCTTCTCTACACACTCCTTATTAATCAAGACAAAAACCAAAATCAAAAACACCTTGAGATGGAATTCATGCCTATAATCAAAAGCAACAAGACTTCATTGAGAATCAAGAGAAGGTGACTGGACAGTGTGAGAGGAAGGCAATCTTTCATTAAAGGATTTCCGCAGGAAGTCCTACCTGATGTGGTGAACTGGCTGCTTCCAAGAGTGGTCGGCCTGTTTTTCCCACTGTTTACAGGTGGAGAAAACATCTATTGGAAGACACACAAACATTTCTCTGAAATACTGCGGTACTAACATTACACAGACAGTGTCTCGTGTTTAATAAATACAAAAAAAAGGTGCATGTTTCATATATTACATAATCTAAAATATTTTTTTAAATGCATGTATGCGTGTGTGCCGTTTGTCATATAATTAGGAGAGAAATAAACAAATATTCACAACATAAAAAAGTAATACTTCAACTTAATGCATATCTTACAAGTGAGTGACTGAACCAATGACAACAGCTGGAAGAGAGTCCTGAAGAAGTACAATAACTGATTAATGTCTTACCGCGCTGAAATCCAGCAGATCACTCAGTTCCTTATCCGTCCCGATAGCGGCAATCCGCTGCTGAGGGTTCATCCTAGCGATCCTTTTCTAAATCTACAAAACACAAACATCATTCCCCTCAATCTGAGAGCCTGATGTGTGCTGAAGCTTCATGCTGGCCAGCACAGCTTATGCAAATGACATCGGTGAACATCCGCAGCTTGACATTTGCTAAACATCCCCATCTCCTGTCTCTTAGCAGAACTAACTTTGCGCTCTTCCAAAACCTTGCGGGCTATCGAAGGACCTGGTTGTCCTCAATCAAAACCTATGTGTTATCCATTAAATAGAAATAATAATAAAAGCTCCTGAGAGACAGACCCAAGAGCTCCTCTCCCGAGCCTCGTATTGCTGACAGCTTCAGAAGAGGTTACGGAATTTCTTTTTGTAAACAACAGCAATCGCATGACATGAGGTGACACAGTGGAAACAGGTTTTATTATAACGTTAGAGAGCAGGCCTAATAGGGTTTCTGGGATGACCAAACGTGGACATGTTGAGAAAGACGCTGTGCTCGACGGTGTCACACAGACACACACATGGACCCGCAGCATCATTTTTCAACTGCATGTGTTTGATTCTTCAATGTATCAAAAGTCACGAGCGTACAATGAACGCTCGCGCGCTGTCAAACCATCAGCCGCTACACACTTTTGTTGTTGCATTACAGGAGAATTGATACTTACAAACATGCTGCTGCTGCTGTTGTTGTTGTTCGCTAATTGCCAGTTAAGCTATTCATAATAATAATAATGGTGCGAGCATGAAACGATTAAGCGAACACTGACCATTAGCACTGACATGACACACATTTTATCGTGGAGAATGAACAGCGAGGTGTCAAGCTGAAGTGTTAAAGCGAATGCCGACCCCTTTCGCTCCACATCGGCTCCTGTCTTTTCTTCTATCCCAACTTCTTTCACCCAGTCCGAAACCTCTCATAAACTCTGTGCAATATTTTACCTGTTTTGTTGTTAAAAATCCAACTAGGGCGATCGGGTGTGCTGGTCACGGCGTAGGCGTCCTTGTGTCGCGTCGGAAAGATAATGAAATCAGTATCTTTTGCGATTTTATATTGCAAATATCCACTATGTAACTTGCGAGTTTCCCTTAGGCAGACATTTTTGCTTGGCGATAACCGAAGCACGACGACGACATCTGAAAGTGTGCTCTTCCGCCAGCGCCGTAGACTTGACTGTTCTTCAGCGGTGCGGATGAATATTATGTGTGGCGAATCATAAAGCCTGACACACAACCTTGCTAGGGGACTAAAGGACCACTGGAGCACCTCCTAAAATCGGTTTGGTTTACCTCCCAACTCCCTAAACGTGGGCTTCGTTGGCTATGTGTGTTATTAGTATTGGGAGAAACTGAGCATGTTTAAAGCATTGAATACATAATTTTAGCTGCGTTAAGTGTTTTGCTGGAACAAGTGCAGCAGCATAAATGCTCTGGAGACCGTTTGAACTGGTGCACACTCTCTCAAAACTGTCGACATATGGACATTGCTATTCTTCCTTTCAAACCTTATATGTGAGCCTGGACCACAAAACCAGTCATTGGAAAATTTGTAGCAATAGAATAACATTGCATGGGTCAAAATTATAGATTTTTCTTTTATGCCAAAAATCATTCGAATATTAAGTAAAGATCATGTTCCATGAAGATATTTTGAACATTTCCTACTGTAAGTATATCAAAATTAAATTTTTGATTAGTAATGTGCGTTGCTAAGAACTTCATTTGGACAACTTTAAAGGCGATTTTCCTCAATATTTAGATTTTTTAATTTTTTTTTTTTTTGCATCCTCAGATTCCAGATTTTCAAATTGTTGTATCTCGGCCAAATATTGTCCTATCCTAACAAACCATACATTAATGTAAATCTTATTTATTCTGCTTTCAGATGATGTCTAAATCTCAATTTCAAAAAACTGACCCTTATGACTGGTTTTGTGGTCGAGGGTCACATGTAGACCTAACTTTGATCACCACATTTCTTCCTTCCTTCATGGATTTTTTTTTAAATGTGCCAAAGCAACCAATGGAACATCAAGAACAGGCTACAGTGCAACAACATGAAAATAATAGTGCTATATATAGTATACGCATATAGGTTTATATGATATAATGAATTATGAAAAATAGTAAAAAGTAAAAACTATTATGCTTGAAATAATTTGCTATTATTATTATTGCTGTGGTTGCTATTGTTCATTTTTTGACTCATGAGATTAATAAAATATATTCTTTAAAAAAAAAATCTAACTTACATATTAAGAGAAATCAATTTGCAATGGGTTTTTTTCATAACTGTAATCACTTGAATCCTATTTGTATTGAAACATATTTTTTCATACATTACTGTCTTTATGTCAAAACTCTGTGACGGTGATTAAGTTGGCATGCCAATTCTTTACCAGAACTCAGAAGACCAGTATCATCCCCTAACTTTAGTGTAAATGAAACTTGCAAAAAGGAAGAATGCAATAAATAAGCTGCATTGTTTAGTCTGTTTTAAAAGAACCCATAACCATTTAATACTATAGTTTACATATGTGTCTCTGGGTTGTCAATATTTAAGGGTGCTTAACTGCACCACACTATAGAAAGTTTGCCATAAAACTAAAAGCAACTGAACATATTCCACAGTACACTAAAACTAACTACAGTGCATATTGATAATGAGTTGATCTTCACAATGAATTCTGTATATATAAATTACAATACGCTTACATAACTTCAGTGATATCTGAAATAGTGATATTCAGTAAAACTATAGAAGTACTTCATAAAGAACAAGAACAGGGGGACATGTATGTCAAATACGTTCATTCAAACATCAACCAATTCAAGAGATTGGAAAAAGAACACCACAAAGCAATTGCCTGTACAGAACAAAGGGCCGCACAGTTTAACATCACTAAGCCAACACAGCTTACAGGTGTACAACATAAGCCATCAAAACAAAACAAAAAACTCCTTCCCTCCAAACTTTCTGAATGAAAGAACGAGATGCATTATCTGTTGGTGATGATGATGACACTCATTATTTATAAGGGCATGCATCCCAAACCTATCACAATACTCATAGTGCCACCTGTTGGTCAAAATAAACAGAAGCGACGAGACAAAACTGCCAAAGCTGCTGCTTGTCGAATTGAACTCCCAACAGAACGGGTTAGTTTATCACCATTGCATTACTGCAAACTACTACTCATACATTTCTGATCTTATTCTAATGTTATTTGTTGTTTTATGTTAACCTCCATTAGTTTACTTTAAATGTTTGCGAATTTGTTGTAATTTTACTCTAAAGTACCACGATGCAAGTCTTAAAATCTTTAACTCTTGCTACATGTTCTTTGTTTTGACCTAGTTTTTATTGTCTTGACTCATAATGTATCCGGTATAATTCGTTTATTTTCTTCTCTGCACGCACTTACTTTATGTTGTGTATTTTAATGTCGTCCAAAACTGGGACTTTTTAAAGTGTTAAAAACAAAATAAGTCTTGGTTCTTGTCTGAACAATAACCCCTCTGATTTCCCATGAGCCTCCGCGCTTCATTCCGCTGTGAGCGTGTCTGAATCAGCACTGATGGAGGTTGTAAATAATCCGAGGTTTTAAAAGGTAAAACTGAGTTTCGCTTTTTTAATCCAAGATGTTTGCTTATGTGTTATCATAACAAAGCCAAATTGAGATTTATTGTGTGATTTGCCGTTTCTCTGCAGCCGCTTGCTATTTGTCTTGCTTTTTTAGCATGTTAGCATCTAGACAGAGCCGACCTGTCTGCTAATGGATTTCGGAGTAATGTGCTAGATCTACGTCGCTGTATGAATGCTTCTGATTTCTTAGCATTAATGCACTTCTTTCATGACTGCATTCTGATTCTACGTATTAGCTAGGAGTAAATGGTAGGAATCTGAGTTAGCATATTAGCCGGTCTGTGTCCGCAGTAACAATCTCGTGTCTGCTAGAGGTGGATCACGGGGTTTGCATCACAATAGTTGGGCTTTTAATCTTAATATTAATAAGTCTGGCTATATCTTTCCCTGTGGGACGCAAAGATAATTTGGTTCTAACACAAAACTTGGTTTGTGGCATTACAGTGATCTGTATAGCACCTTAGTTTTGATGGAGTCTCAAGCTTTAGCTAGCTTTTATTGAGGTGTATTTGTGCTGGGATGTCTAAACCCAGATTATGAGGCAATTTGTGGAGTGTTGGTATAATTTCATTAACCACATAGCCTTGCGCTGATATCTTTGGTTTTCTTTTAGATGTCTGAGCTGTTTATGGAGTGTGAAGAGGAGGAGTTGGAGCCGTGGCAGAAGACAATTCCAGAAATCAATCTGATAGATCTTGAAGATGATGACGATGATGAACCAATATTTGTCGGTGAAATCTGTAGCTCCAAGCCTGCGGCCAACACAAGACAAGGTATGATTGTCTTTTGGGCACACCGTCACTACTCTTCTGGTCCTGTACGTAAGATTGTTTGCTCATTGTTTCTTGTGATCTTCAGGTGCTGTTAACCAACAGAACCGGCGAAACGTCCCGGTTCAAAAACCCTCAATGTTGGCATCATCACAAAAGCCTCCGCAAGCTCCGCCGAACCCCGCAAGTGTTGCTATAGGTCCTACAATCATGGTCAGAGGTGCTGCCCCTTCAGGAGGAAATCCCATCCTCATCCCTATTAACACAACTCTAGGACCTCAAACAGCCCCTCAACCCATCATTATTAACAATCAGGTAACTTCACGTTTCTTCGACTTTCTCAGGTTAAACCTGTGCTTCTTCCCACTCGGGTTACATTTGACATTAGTCATAATAAACATGCATGAATTCAATTTAGATTTATTAATGCGTCTGTTCATAGGCCGAATTCGATGAGGGTACTGAATCTTTATCATTTCACCAGGGTTACATTGTAGCATCACCACAGAATCTCAACAGCAGCACCTCGTTCATCAGCGCTTTGGGGTCACAGTATCCACTAGGAACCACTCTCACGGTTGTGCCAGGTATAATTGTGTCTGTGTAGTTTGTTTTATTCTGTTTATGATTGGAAAGATTTTTAAATGGTTTTGAAAGACATTTATATGATGAAAAATACAGTCAAAACAGCACGATTATTGAATTTTAAAATAACTTTTTTTTTTATTGCAATATATTTTAAAATGTACTTTATTTTTTGTGATGGCGAAGCTGAATTTTGAGCAGACATTTCTCCAGTGTCACATGTTCTTGCATAAATCATTCTAATAGTCTGATTTGCTGCTCAAGAAGCATTTCTTATTACTGTCATCATTGTTGAAAACAGTGCTGCTTAATATTTTGTGGAAATCATGATACTTTTTTCATGATTTGTGATGACTAAAAAGAGTAGCATTTATCTGAAGTAGACAGTTTTTTTTGTTGTAAAATTACAAATATTTTTGCAGTCCCTTTTTTGATTTGTTTATTGTGTCCTTGTTAAATAAGTAATAATTTCTTATAAATGTTCTTATTCTTATTTTTAAAAAATGTGAGTGGTAGTGTATGCTAATTAGTGTATTAGTATGTGAGTTCTTCATTACTTTGTGTTTGTTTCTCAAGCAGCAGGTCAGCAGATATTGCCGCAAGTCACCATCACACCAAAGCCGGGGGTCATTCACAGGCCTCAAGTGCAGCATATCCAGGACAATGTGGTGACCTTGTCCAATGTACGAGCCCCAGCTAACCTTTCTTCTCAGTCCCACACTACTTCAGGATATCTAAACACAACAGGCATCGTTCCAGCAACACTAGCTAAACAAAAAACTTTATCCCTGCAAACTATGAACAGCAAAGGTAAGCCTGTGTGTGGATGGATAAGCTATAACAGTGTATCCACTACTTTTACCAGTAGACCTATTTTCTAGTTTAGTGTTATTTGCTGAAGTGAAAGGATTATAACCAAGGTTTGAATTTGAAATTACCACCCACCCACTATCCTGCCAGATTATAGTTGCCACCCACCCACCATAATTTTTGGATGATTGAGCAACTGCAATTAGACATGACATGGCAACAAAACTGGATTTATTTGTTGTCCATGTACTAAGCTACAATAAAAAAAAATTGCAAAAATACACCAAAATCCCAAGGCCCCTCTCGCTTTTCTGAAAGGTGTGAAGGTTGTGTTTGCGAAAACTTTTTAAAAAGGTTTTTTCTTTGAAGATGAAGACTTGATGGGATGTTTCTTTTTATGACCCACAGATAATGGCACAATGATAAATGTCACAAGCAACAGTGGGTCCAAAGGAGGTAAGCTTGACATGGGTAGGTTTTTGTCCAGTATGTATTGTAGAATTTCCAGAAGCAACAATCTCTGTTCAGCTTTTAATCTTTTTTTCCTTCTTTGACAGCTGGAGATAATGATTTCCCCTTCAAAAAGAATTGTCCCAGGTGTCAGAATGTGTTTGGCTTTCAGCCTTTAAAAAATCATATGAAGGTTGGTATGTTTTACTTTCTTTTTTTTCCCCCCCTGTTTTAGCAACAGCTTTATTGAATGCAGTCAGGCAGCGTTAAATCTCAAGATTAACATAGATGGTTATTACATCAGTAGAGTGTCATTGTCTTCATCGTCCTGCAGCTTGTTTTATGTAGTTATGAGCTGTGTGGGAAGCCAAACACTCCAACTGAACCAAGTAAACGGCAGTGCCACTCATCCACTCTGGTTATGTAGTCTGGTCTGATTTTTTTACTATATGTAACTGTGCATTTTTGTAGCTCATGGAATAATTCACTGCTTAAATGAGATGTCACCTTGTGTAGTGTTTTAAACGAAGAATAAGACATTTTCTTAAAGGGATAATTTAGCCAAAAATGACAATTCTGTAATCAAAAGTCTTTCTAAACTTATAAAACTTGCGTAAATCTTTGGACCATAAATAAAGATCTTTTTAAAATATTCCCATAGTTTTTTTTTCCTCCATCTGTTGAATGTACACACCCAAAATTTTCATACTACAAAAAGTTCATAAAGACATTGTAAAAGTAATCCATACAAATTGAGCAGTTTAATCCATGTCTTCCAATGAGTGATCACTTTATGATGAACAGATTTAATTTAGGCATTTATTAACATATAAACATTGACAACGTACGTACATAGAGCACATCAACTGTGTTAAACAGAATTTTGGTAAAGTGGTAAAAAGAGTTTGTTTGTTTGTTTGAACCTCTGATGATTGACTGACTAACTAGAAAATTAAAAATGGCACTTCATTTTAAAAATGTTGCCACCTCCTGATGTAGAGACAGATATACTTTGATTCCTCAGCTGAAAAGCATTATTGAGATGTTATGCTTTTTTTTCTCCTCCTCTTCAGCTGTGCTGCCCTGAATTATTAGACTCTGTGTTCCCCTCAACATCGAAGTCTGACAAACAAGCCAGTGCACCTAAAGTCTATGAGTCTGACAAAGGCAAACTCATCATGCTGGTTTCAGACTTCTACTACGGGAAATGTGAAGGGGATCCATCTCTGATTCTCAAATTCAAGTCCAACACCACCTTCAAGTGCAACAGCTGTTTAAAAATGCTCAAGAACAATATCAGGTATTTTTTGGAGTCTTAGTTATGCAAAAACCTATTAGGGTACACATTTTTTGAAGTACCATCTTTAATCAGCCAGGTGCAGAGGTGGTTGAAGCTCTATAGACCTTAGTCAGGGTAGCTGCAATTTAGTTTGTCACGAATGAAAACGATTCAAACAGTCCCAGTCATTTAAGTCTGCTTTTTTGTATAATTCTTTTGGTCTGTGAGGGAGCAACATCACGCATGCGGTTTAGATGGAACATTGCTCATGAGAGCCATTAGCTGCAGGAGCCCAGAGATGGAGAGAGCAATAGTTAGAGAAAGAGAGACCCCATCACTGGATTTCCCCTCAGACCCTTGTTCCCTCTAGGGGCCCCAGATGAATAATGAAGGGTAGTTTGGCTGCTATAAGAACTGTTCCTGTGATTAAATAACTTTACTCCGCTACGGCGTGAGAAAAGCCTCAGTAAGCTCCTTTTAATGGGGAGGCGCGTTTGCAGCGCACTCCCAAGTTCTGGCGGCGGGGGTCACAGTTCAGCCGCATAAAAATCCCTATTAGGGGAGCTGAGGTTGCAGAATGTGCTGACTGAAAAATTGGCCGCTCAACGTCAGGGCACCAATGGCAGGTGAGGTAGAGCCTGCACATCACATCATTAAACAAAGAAGCAGCGCAGTATAATTGCTGGTATTATAATGGCTATTATGCACAGTTAGAACATGAACTTTAAGTAGAATATTTGCTAATTTATCTCTTCAAAACCCTTGGGAGCTCAAACACTTCTTGAGTACACACGCACAGGCCTTGCACTGTTCAAAGGTGACTTTTAATGGCGTGTGTTTGTAATTTGGCTAATTATATTTAACTGTGCAGGAGTTTTATTTTGTGTTCCCAAAGGACGCTGAACATTAGCTACTTTAACTTTGGCATTTTCCCTTCCCTTCAGACGTCTTTGATGAATTACGGTTTATGATGAGTTGATAGTTCATGTACTGCTCATTTGTATCTTGAAAATCCAGTATAATCTATAGACAAAGCTGGAGTATGACCCGTTTCAAAAATAGGATGTGAAGTTCGGTTGCAACATCTGAAACTGCGTGATTCTAAAAGGATGTTATGCGTCTATTTTTAGGTGCCTTTTGAAAAGCAAAAGGAAACTCCACTCCTGAGAGAGCAGACACTTTGTAGTGGTTTACCTGTTTGAATGTTGCACATCTGTTTGACATTCACTTCCTCGCACATCAAAGGCTTTCCTGTTTAGTTGTCACACCTTTGTCAACGGCGGTCCCGCTTGTGTCAGACTGAGTTCTCCCAAGACGGCAGCTGTTTGTGGAGCAGAGCATTTACCTTAAAGAGTATCATTAATGTCGCATGTTGCAGGTGTACCCAGTGCCTTCTCACTCTCACCACAAGCTGACTTTTTGGTTGGGAGTGTCACACCTACTGACTGTTTTTTGCAGAAATCTCTACACACACACAGAATAAATAAGAGGTGACAGACTTAATGACTCTGACTTTTCTCTCCAATCATCTGTCACATGAAACTTGCCAAAATAGGTGCATGAGAGCTGCACGAACATAAACATTGTATGTTCATTGGGTTTCATTTCATTGAGTTTCTTGACTCTGTTAATGTGTGTGATTGTTTATCAATTCTTTCAGGGCTTGCTGAAGCTTCAGTGAGAACGTTATTTTCTTATTTTATGAGTAGTCAGAATCGACAAGGTTAATAATTTAGCATTGAGTTGGTCGCTGGGGCTGTTAACAGTAACACCCACTTGCCGAGAGATGGCCGAGGCTCTATATCGTCTCACACATTCAAATAAAAAGCAAAGCTATATAAATTAAACTCATTATTATTATTAGATTTGGCCCTCTTATTCTTCAACGACCATGTAAATGAACACTACAGCTGAGATCAGCTAGTTGTAGTAATTTTGCTCTTACTCATCCCTCTGTTCGTTTTCCTTTCAATCAGGTTCATGAACCACATGAAACATCACCTGGAGTTGGAGAAGCAGAACAGCGAGAGCTGGGAGAGTCACACTACATGTCAACATTGTTACCGACAGTATTCAACTCCTTTTCAACTGCAGTGTCACATAGAGAGTGCACACAGTCCCTTCGAGTCCACCAGTAAGTCACTACATTTCAGTCACAGGGTCTTTTCCTTTTTGAGTAGGTGGTTCTTGGCCAGAATAAAGGCCTTACAACAATATTAGTGTCAACTAGAAGTCTTCTCAGGTCCTAAAATCCATACCCGACCCAAATCACTTCTTACCCGAATCTGACGTGCATAAATTAATTTTTTCAAAAGAAAGACCCGACCCGAGACGGACCCGATGAAGTAAGACCCAAGTTCGACCCGACCCAATGGCATTTATTTTCAAACCCGACTGGACCCGAATGTAAACGGCATTGACGTGTGCACAGCCTGCAGCCCTGCAGTCAGGAAAAATCCCGCTGTCCTGCTGACTGATTTGGCTGCTGCTCCATTACTTTCGTTTATTTATTTACTTATTTATTATTAGGCCTACTTTATATTTTTCCTGCTTGTTGGATACATGTTATTTCTGAGTTCGGCTTTTAATTGTAACCAGTGCATTTAAAAAATAAACATGTTAGTTTGATAAAAATTAAATGGATAGCCTAATAAATTATGGATTTAACAATGTCATTTACCTCATCTCCAGTGAAGGGCTTCTGCACAAAAAAGAAAAGCCCTGCATGAACACGCAACGTAATAAAGCGGGTGGCTTTTCCTGATGGATCTCATATCCATAAGATGAATTTCTGTGTGCGAGGTTGCAAACGTTTGTTCCTTTTATATGCGCGTTTCTTAAAAATGCACTTAACACGAATGCGCAAGTTCGCATCCGGGATAGTTTAAAAGAATTCGGGTCTTATCGGGTCCTATCGGGTCCATTTGGAAAAAAGACATTTATTTTAAAGGACCCGAGGCTGCTAATACCGAACCTGACCCGTGTTCGAGGCACTCGTAGAAGTTTTGGACCCGAACCCTCTCGACCTTGACCTTGGGTTTTTGGATCCAAGTGGACCCATGAAGACCTCTAGTGTCAACACCAATGTTTGTTATTAGTTTGTCATCTTCCGCTTTGAATTATCAAGCTTTTTAAACTCATTGGCTATCAGTGTTTTTATTCTACATCAGATTTAAAAAATGGTTCTGAAGGTGATTCCAACAATATCATTACTCTGTCATTGTTATAATTGTGAGATAGCTATTCTCCCAGTATTAAAATTGTATTATCCTTCGTGTGAACAGGCCTTAAGCCGCAAAAGTGGCCCATCACATCATAATTGTGATTTTTGAACTAAAGTAGGAAGTTTCCTACAGGATTTGAGGTTATGTAAAAATAGTCAGTGATTTTGTACTTGGAATGAGAATATTTCACCAGAGGGAAATAAGTTAATGGTTTAGATATATTATAAGAGTATTGTTATCTTTTCTTTCCCCAGCCAACTGTAAAATATGTGAATTGGCTTTTGAGACGGAGCAAGTGCTTCTGGAGCACATGAGGGACAATCACAAACCTGGAGAGATGCCCTATGCCTGTCAGGTAAAACTTCATCGTTGCTCTGTGTAATTTGTATTTCAAATACTTGGTTCTCACTTTGTTTTTGCTCTCTTAAAGGTTTGCAACTACAGGTCCTCCTTCTTCTCTGATGTGGATAACCATTTCCGCACAGTTCATGAAAACACTAAAGACCTGCTTTGTCCCTTTTGCCTGAAAGTCCTTCGCAGTGGCCATATGTACATGCAACACTACATGAGACATCAAGTGAGTGTGTTACCTTGTGTGTGATTCCATTTGGAAATGGATTTATTGCCGCCTACTTGCTTACTAATTTATACCAAAGACTGTGTACATGAGTCTTTTTGACATGTTCTTGGATAAGACATCATCTGTCTCTTTGTGGATTTGGAGCTCGAGACTTCACTGATCTGAAGTCAGCACAATGTGCAACTCATTTGTGTGCTGCCCCATTGGCTCTCACTCTAAGGTTGGATTGATTTGGTTGTCTGCCGAACACCTTGGTGCAATATATAACAGGCTGACAGTGGCGGCTTACTCTATTCACCTTCCCTGGTTACTCCTTATGGGCTTCTCCCTGGCAACAGCAAACCAGATTAACCACGAGTCAAATCGGCCAACAGCAAGATTTGTAACAAAAACAATAGTGCATGTGGTGGTGGAATGATGCGGATTAGAGACCGCCAAGTTCATGGCATATTCCAGTATAAAAAAGATTATATAAAATTATATTTAAAAAAATTATATTTTATAGATTTTTTAGCAATGATATTAATAAACATCTAAATTAAATTGCTAAATGTAACTTGTGACTTAACTTTGTATGTTATGTATTTTTTTGCTTTTTCTAGAAAAAAGGGATTCAAAGGTGTGGAAAGTGCCGACTAAATTTCCTCACCTATAAGGAAAAAGTAGAACACAAGACACACTTCCATCGAACCTATAGGAAGCCTAGAAAACTTGAAGGATTGCCTCCAGGAACCAAGGTCTGCTTGTAGTTATGAACTATATTAACTATATAATAGAATATACAGTCACAAATGATTTGAGATTAAACTTTTCATTAGCATTATTTAATCCATTTTAGGTGACGATTCGGGCCTCAGTTTCTGGTGCGCAAATGGGTTCTGAAACTTCAAGCAAAGCCTACATCATACCAACAAGTCCTGAAACGACCAAACAACCTGTTAGAATAGCAGCAAACACAACCAAACCAAACGTAAATGGAGGAAAGGCAAAGACGACAAACCAATTCAGCTGGAACCGAAGCAACCAAAATAATGAGCTTAAAAGTTTGAAGTGAGGATTCTTAAGCCCAAAGTATACTTCAGTTTTGATGCGAACGCTTAGCGCATGTGTACAACTGAACACACGAGTGCTCATCAGCACAGGCATCTGTAGTTGTTGCCGCCGTGTTCAGTAGTTTGTTGTTATCGTTCTTCGGTGTCTTCCGTTTCTTTTTTGAATGTGAAGCAGTGGGCCGGGGCAACTAATTTAGGGCTACTGCTAATGATTATTTTTATTGTCGACTAATCTATTGATTGTTTTTCGATTAATCTATTAATTATTTTCTGATCAGTTGATGAATTCTTTAGTTAAACTATCAATAAATAATAACAGTAACATCTGCTATTAATCTTTTAATGTTTTATTCAAACGTTTTCTCATAATACTTTACAAAAAATAAATAATAATAACAACAACAAAGAAAGAAAATAATAACAAGAAATAAAGAAAAATAATAACAAGAAAAGAGAGAAAAATAAGTAATAACAATATATAATTAATAAAAAAGAAGGAAAAAGAAAGAAATAGAAACAGGAAAGAAAGAAAGAATTACAGGGCAGTGATATAATTCAATCAATAGAAATGCACATTATGGCTGCATTCACAGTTACTGTTTGGGACTGACAGCAGTTGCTTACAGGTGAAATGTTTTATTTATTCAGTAGATTAAAACATCTGCTTGAATACATATCTGTATGAATGAACAGCTGAAGTCACAACCGCATTCAGGACACTAGAGCGACAGAATCAAAAATGGTGTCATAACCCCGGGAAGTTTTAGCACAGTTGAGTTGACAGCCCGTTTTTAAATAAATGAACGCAACTCTATGAAGTGATGTTGCCATACTAGCCTTTACCTTCTGCTTTAGAGTCTTGTTTTGTGTTAAACATGACAGAAAAACAGTCTTAAGTAGGGATAACTGCAGGCTCGCGCAATGGGAGTGGCTAAAGCTGCGACGCATCGACGTATTTTCGTAATCGATGACGTCGAAGAATCGTTGCAGCCCTAAACGAATTAGCGCAAAATAATTAAAGGTGCATGTGTGAGCTGAGCATACAGAGTATGCGTGATTAGAAGAATCTGGCTTTGTCTGTACAGTAGGAACATACTACGCTCCTAATGAAATTCACAGCATGCATGCCTAGCGTACACGTAACATCCAAGTATACTTTAGGATTCAGCTGTTGCATTGTGTTGTATTAGAAGTTAAGAGTCACAGCCTATTGTTTTATATTAACAAGTGTTTATTTTTCACAGGCTTCCAAGTGGAGGAAATAGGTGTGTTGAGTGTCTCTCAGAGGTTATGGACCCTTATGTTCATTATCCTTTATTGCTGAGATGCAATATATGCAAGTTCAGATCGAGTTGCCAGAAAGCCTTCAGACATCATATGTTCAGGTCAGGGGAAAACTTGGACGGATGAACAATTCCAAATGAATTTAATCAGATCTATAGATAGTGTTCTGTTCGTCTGCAGGTTTCACAGCAATTCTCCTAAAGTACGGTTTGGGAAAGTGAGGAAGCCTCCACGTGGTTTGCGGTAAGTTTGGATCTAGCTAGTATGTGATGGTTAACTGTGATAGAGGAGTTTATTTGTGTGATACTTGCAGAAAATGAAAGTTATTGTTTCTTCTTTTGTTTAAGGAGTCTAACGCTGGTGTGTCTCAAGTGTGACTTTCTGGCAGACGCTTCTGGCACTGACCAGATGTCCGAGCATTTGCTCAACAGGCCAAACCACTCCTGCCAGGTCATCATGGAGCCAGGTATGATGCCCAACCAACTCATTGCAAAAATATTTTTCTCTTTGTGATGTCAGATTTTCTTACTTGCATACATTTTTTTTATTTCATTTAAGTTACCAATGGAGGATCAGAAATGAACAGGTATGAAAGTTGTTTGTATAATTTTTTTGCTATTTATGAGTTTTCAGTTATTTATTGCATGCAATTAAGTTGTATAAAAGGTTAGGGTTTTCTCTTGCCATTTTAAAATCCCATTGTTGTTAATTGTGAAAACTTGTGTCTGTTTTAAAAAGTCGGTGGTGTTGCTCTCTACTTTCTGGTATGCTCTCATTGTCAAACGCATGATGTATAGGTGTACAATGACACCATATGCTTATTTGTATTTTTGTTAAATGTAGAGGTTAGAGCTGTGAAGAGAGGAGAGTAAAAATAGACTGGGAAGTGTAGCTTGCCTGATTGAGACAAATTACCTTTTCTGATGAAACGGGTGTGAATACAGACCCTCTGGCCTATGAATTGTTTGGAAATATCATTTATTATAAAAAATGATCTCTGTTTTTTTCCATTAGTCTTAATTGGGATGCCTATTAAGTGGTATTCGGGAGACCTTGCTTAAATTAAAACGGGAGTTTTTGCATTAATTAAGGCTGAAGAATATATTCTTATTAATGTGGACCACAAGGAAAAGCTCACACGTTGCTGTGAAAGGCAAGTGGGAGAATATTTGCTTTCTTATTGAAAATAACCCATAAAGAATAAATTCAAAACGGAGGAATCACTACATACTTGGACATCTTCAGAGTCTTTTTTTTTTTTTTTGGTCATGTCTAGTTTGTTAGAACTTACGTTGGTCAGTTGAGTGCCAGTGTGAATTTAATGATATTAAGATTTTCCCCTCAAAAACAAAAAATAAATATTTTTCCTTGCCCCTATTACCATAATGCAAAAAATAAAATCTCTGTAATGCAGAGAAAATAAATAATAAACGTGCGTATTATGATAGTAGTAGTGTTGTAATGTCTTTAATGCAGTGATTTAAATAAGCAAAAATTAAAGTGTATTTTTATCGCTGCAATGACTACGAGTCACAAAAAATATCTCCGCCTTTGTCCAGGAGACAATGTCATGTTTCTCTTTAGAGCTTGATTTGGTGAAGAGCACCCTCTTGTGGTATCATTCTGTGTAGTTCAGTAAACTAGTGATGGGAAGACTCGTTTATGCCAATAGGTTGTTTCAAAAAGTTCTTTTCAAAGAACATGTTAACAAAAAGTTTGTGATTCTGACAAACACCGTTACAGTGAATGTCTGCAGTAATTTCCAGTTTTGCTTTTCAATTTGTATTTAAGTGCTCCACAGTAGAAAGAAACGCAATCAGTTTTCGTTTGACACGAGGGTAAATTACCAATTTTCACAACTATCACACACCTAAAAAATTTTTAATAAAATAAAAATACATTCATGCATATCAAAACAAGTAGTGCAGTATTTATATTTAAAGAAAGATCTCAAACTCACTTAAAGCAATAAATAAAAAAGTAAATATATAGAAACAGGATTTACTTTGCTAGTCTGAGATCTTCCTTTAAAATGTATTCCACTCATTACTAAACTGAAATTTGCCATTCACTGTCAGGGATAACCATAAGCCAATCAGCTTTCAGCATCACTTCAATGTGTCATCAGATCTATAGGCTGGTCAATGAAAAGATCTTAAAACAAGAGCGAATGAATGACAGGTATGCAAATTATCATAAAATAGGGGTGGCTGGAGTTCCTTGCAGAGGCAAGATGATCTGTACAGGGCCCTCCATTTATGAATAAATGTTTTTTATAGCCATAGTCTGTATTTGGCACTGCAAGATTTTTTTTCCCACTGATTTACTTTACACATACGTAAGTGTTGTATTGATGAAGAGATTAATACGCCAGCATTAAGAATTAAGAATAGGATATCATCTGTGTGCCAATTTATCTCGTTACACAGAGCATCTTGGTCTAAACGCACACACTGGCACCACATTACCCAGCTTAAACAAAGTCTTCTTGGAGTAACAAAACAATGCTTGATTAAAATACAGATCATCAAACATACTCATGATCAGGGCCATAGCTAGGGTATGTGGGCCCCCTCTACTGAAATCACATTCCAGGCAGGGGTGGCCCTTGGTTAAAATTGCATTCACCCCCCCAAGTCAAGGGCCCCTACAATCGTCACCATCTTTCTCCCCACTGCCAACAGCCTTGCTCGAGATCACTTTCCAACTTGCAACAAAATGCATGATGCATTTTGCGCTCAAATGTATTGTCACCAAAGTAATCTTGCATTCATAATAGCTACTGTAACAAAGAACCACACAGTGCTAAAAAAACTCAAGAGTTTGTGAGTGATGGGAAACCTGTTTTGTTCATTATAAACTGGACATTTAGCCTAATAGTAGCCTAATTCAAATGCAAGGAGTGACTGATCGTACCCTACGGTTTTACCCATTTACGTCTCTGTTTTACCTTTATACTGATGTTTATGACAAACAAGTGCTTTTTATCCATTTATATTTGCAGCTGATACATAAAAGGGAGCAAGTGAAGATGCGGATCATAGCATAGTGGGGCAAACGACTTGCTATTATCAATCACAACTGACCACTCAATCAAGATTTTACACTAATAATAAAAAAATAATTTATACATTTCTGATCCAGGCCATAATTCGCTAGTTGTAGGGCCTGACATTTGAGCAAAACTGCATTTTCTCTACACTAAAAGCACAGAGAGAAAAAATGCTCATCAAGCCTAAAGTAAAGTTTTCGCTCCATCAGTCAAAATTCTCAATTCAAGTCTGTCAGCTAAACCAAGTTATTGAAGAGATTCCATAAACACACACACACACCGCGAAAGAACAAAAGCAACTTTATAAATATAGTCAGTGTGAGTGTTTTGTTTCATTTTAATTACATCAAAAAACGTTATTTATTCAATTGTTGTAAAATATTATTTATGAACGTATATTATATGACTTTTATATGAAACCATTAGCGGAAATGACGTCAATTTCAACATGGCGACGCACACATGCTCCTCTGTGTACACATAACGCTTTACCGTAACCTTGCAACTGTCAACTGCTGGTTTGCGAAACTGATGAGTATAATGAATATAATTTGGACGCGTAATTGTGAAAAATGTCACTACTGTCTCGACTGAAGTTATCGTGAAATAATAGAATGACTCCTCTTGACTACTGCGTGCTTATGTTAATCGAGGAGTGACGGTTTCGTGTTTGCTAGCTGTTAAAGACCTTACATTAAAGGATGTGGAACCTAAACTATTTACAATTCATAGATCTGGGACGTCTGCTGTCTCAAAGACTTTGTAGCAACTGCATCGCACGTCTTCGTCAATGTGACGGCAGCCATAGAAGAGGCTTGTTTCTGTTAAGCAGGAATACATCTTTTGTAACTCAAATACAATCTGCTTCAAAATCACCCTGGAGAGTTTTGTTCTTTGGAAGTGATGATTTTGCATTGGAATCATTGAAACGGCTTCATGTTTCTCGGTAATGATATCCAGTTTGTTATTGCATTACTACTATCTGTGCTAATAAACATACTGCATTATTCATGCGACTAGTTTGCTTTTCATTTTGTAGAGATGACACAAAAGCTGGAGTCATAGGTTCACTTGAGGTCGTGACGCTGTCCAGAGATGCTCCAGTCAGAAAGTATGCAGAGCAGCACAGACTTCCTCTTCACCACTGGCCAGATGTGGACTTAAGTGCACAGTTTGATGTTGGTGTGGTGGTGTCATTTGGCTGTTTAATCAAGGAGAACATCATCAACAAAATGCCATAGTAAGTCATTAGAATTCAGGGAAAAGCATGACTAATGCAATGACTGCATGGGTCCTGTACCATTTGTGTCTGTAGTCATCGTGTGCTTTTTGAAATGTTTTAACATGCCCTCAGCCCATTATAGACCATAATTTGATAGTTTTTTTGTCTCTCAGCGGGATCCTGAATGTGCACCCTAGTCTGTTGCCACGCTGGCGGGGTCCTGCTCCAATCTTTCATACGATTCTACATGGTGACAGTGTCACGGGAGTGACTATCATGCAAATAAGACCTAAAAGGTAAATGAAATGTTAAGGGCAGGATCAATATGAAATTCTCTTTCAATTATCAAGTCTTTTATATTTATGGTTTGTATTTTATATTGTAGATTTGATGTGGGCCCCATTCTTCAGCAAGAGCTGTACGAGGTTCCAAAGAACTGCACTGCTGATGAGCTCGGGGCCACTTTAGCAGTTGTGGGTTCAAAAATGGTAACTTACCCCCTCCTCTTAACACATTTTACACCTGTAATCAAAAGTTTCTTGTGTATATCATTTGTAGAATTTTTTTTTTGATTTTTTATTTTTTTTTTATTGATGAAGAGATTAATACGCCAGCATTAAGAATCAAGAATAGGATATCATCTGTGTGCCAATTTATCTCGTTGTACAGAGCATCTTGGTCTAAACGCACACACTGGCACCACATTACCCAGCTTAAACAAAGTCTTCTTGGAGTAACAAAACAATGCTTGATTAAAATAGAGATCATCAAACATACTCATGATCAGGGCCATAGCTAGGGTATGTGGGCCCCCTCTACTGAAATCACATTCCAGGCAGGGGTGGCCCTTGGTTAAAATCATGGGTTGGTTTAAAAGGGGTTATGTATCAATACTCGAAACCACGATCAGCAATGCAGCGATTGGCTGGTGGCAAGACAGCAATGTAATGACATCATATAATTAAAAAAGACACCTGACGAAAAACTTGACAAATTTCTGGACTTTTATAAGGACACAGCCAAGCGAACAAAACTACATAAATGTTATAATAGATAAATGAAATGTGCACTGTTTTTATTTTATTTAAATTTTTTACATGATTCCCAGTTATTTAAATTCACGATTTCTAGTATTTGTACACGCTTTAAATTTTTATTTCAATGTTGTAATTCGCAGTTCATTTAATTTTATCTTTGAAATGTAATTTGTTACGTGACAGCATTAATTCAAGTTTCTTAAGGGTCAAGATCAAATTATCTACATCTCCTGCGCTCCATCAACCCACTCCCATAATAGCTGTCATCACTCAAATTAATGCACGACTCAGATTAACTGTAACAATTATAAAGTAATTATTTTATCATGAATAAATCTTTCAATGAGTAAAACTGGCTGTGTCTATAGTATTATAGACTACACAACATTATTATATATTTTTTGATAATAATAATTTTATAAATTATTGTCCCTGGATCAGTAGGGTAGTCTTGTAATAAAGTAGCAGTGGCTGGGACAGATTTTAAGTGTCAATTCTGCTTAAAAAGATGCAATCTATTCCTGTTTACATGAAATAAGCCTGCTCCTGAGCAGGTTTAAGCTTATGAACCTGTTGCTATGACAGCAACTCTGGGATGAGCTTCGAAGAACCAACCAATCCAAGATCATGCAATAGCTGTCATCACTCAAATTAATGCACGACTCAGATTAACTGTAACAATTATAAAGTAATTATTTTATCATGAATAAATCTTTCAATGAGTAAAACTGGCTGTGTCTATAGTATTATAGACTACACAACATTATTATATATTTTTTGATAATAATAATTTTATAAATTATTGTCCCTGGATCAGTAGGGTAGTCTTGTAATAAAGTAGCAGTGGCTGGGACAGATTTTAAGTGTCAATTCTGCTTAAAAAGATGCAATCTATTCCTGTTTACATGAAATAAGCCTGCTCCTGAGCAGGTTTAAGCTTATGAACCTGTTGCTATGACAGCAACTCCGGGATGAGCTTCGAAGAACCAACCAATCCAAGATCATGCAAGTATCAAATCCAGCTAACTGAGTTAGCGACGTACGAAGAACGGGCCCCTGTTTTCAACATTGATAATAATAATAAATGTTTCTGGAAAACCAAATCAGCATATTAGTAGGATTCCTGAAGGATCATGTGTCACTGAAGAGTGGAGTAATGACTGCGAAAAATTCAGCTTTGCCATCACAGGAATGATAATATTTTAAAAAATATATTAAAATAGAAAAGTCATTTTAAATTGTAATAATATTTCACAATATTACTGTTTTTACTGTCTTTATTTTTTTAAATAAAAAATGCAATCTTGGCAAGCAAAAGAGACTTTTTTTTCAAAAGCATTTAAAAATCTTCTTGAACTTTTGAATGGTAATGTACATTGCATTCATGAAATACACTTCCTCGATTCTTGCATTCCCTTAAAAACAAACCCATGACCTTGGTGTTGCTAGTGCCATTATCTACTGTTTGAACTACAGTAATACTCCATAATATTACAGCAACACTTTGAGCTACAGGAACGATTAATTAATTTATAAATTAATTGTCAATGGATTTGCTTATGCACTACACGTTAACACTATCTGGCATGAAATCAAAAGTTTCATTCACTTGAGTTGTTTTAAAACTTCTGTCTCATTGTTAAATCAACAGTTGATGGACACTCTAAAACATCTACCAGAAAGGATAGCAAGCAGAAAGGAGCAGCCTAAGGAGGGAGCATCATTTGGTAAGTGTGTTCTTTAGGTAATGACCAAAACACAAGAGTCAGCAAATTCTGAAGCAATGAAGTGAGAATAATGTAAAAACAGATAAACTACATTTAATACAACATCTACATTACTGCCTTCAGCCCCTAAAATCAGTTCTAGAATGGCATGGATAATATGGGAAGAGCACAGCTGTGACTACATTGATCGATTGTTTCGAGCTATTGGATCTCGGGTAGGAATAAAGGGATCCTACGAAATGTACATTTACTTCAGTTATGCTTTAAACAACATTAAACACAGTGTTTGTTTTTTTTCAATCAGATTCCTTTGAAAACAATGTGGATGGACAATCCCATCAAACTCCTGGACTTTGTTGGCAAATGCAATGTGTCGTTTACAGGTAAACAGAGTTGGTTAGTTGGTGATTTTATGGTATTGGCTGTGACTGATTGACTAAGGGCATCTTCACACCTTGCTAATGACCCAATGAACCAAGCTGTATCATAGTTCACAATGGGAAATGTGTTACATTAAAAGCAGCAGTCTTAATTTTGTGGGTGCACAAATTACTTATCACACTTGAAAACCAAAGAGCTTTATCTAAAACACTGTCTTCATCTAAAAAATGTCACCGTTTTTTTTTCTGAAACAGGTGCATTGCAATCTTAATCATTTATCTTGATGGATGATCCCAGATAGGACAGTTTTATGCACATGTGACTTGCAAAAACAGATTGTGGGTAAACTGTGAAATGTTGCATTCTGAAAGTGTACTGAACCAAGGAAATAATGCAACATTGTAACGTTTTAGGTCCCTGTTTCGGAACAAAGCAAACATTCTGCAATCTGCAGGTCTGAAAGTGTCCTAACTACGTTTGTCCACTGGAAAAAGTGATCTCACTTTCATGTTTCTTTGCAGCTGCTCCTTATTTATCTTCAGTGCCAGGGTCTGTCCATTATCAGAAAGAATCCAATACTCTACTCGTCCGCTGCAAGGTATGCACATGGAGTTAAGAAATGTTAAAACATACACAAGTCCATTAGCACAGATGAAAATGCTCACTAACAATCAAACTGCTAGAGGCCTGCCATTTTGAAGGTGTGGATGTACAATGTACAGTGAAGTTTTCCCTTTCAGCTATTCCCATCTTTTTAATGATCACAGTACTCACTCTGATCTGCTGTCAATCCTCTGCTCTCCGGTTTCTATAGAAAATGATCTGAAAGCACCACTTATGATGCACTCACTTTGTCCGTATTTTAGTATAACACTGTAATAGAATTTATATACTGTCATAATATTGATCAATACTTTGCATTTAGCTTTTATATTTTTTTGTTTTATTTTAAGTTTTAGAAATAATGCGCTTATTGCTATTTAAACTTTTATTTCAGTTTTCAGTTAGTTGCCAAGGCAACATTTCAAGTTTGAATTTTATTTCAGCCTAATTTCTATCAAAAATGATTTTAATGGTTTTAGCTTTAGTTTACTAAAACAATGTGTGTACCAGATGTACTTTATATTATGCTGTATTTCATATTTCAGTTCTAAATTGTATCAGTGTTGATATCAGAAGAACAGTGTTGTTTTTAACATTTGCTGCACAGTTCATGTTGTCTTTCGTTACTTTTCTTTTTTTTAGGATGGATGGGTTGGATTCAAAGCAGTGAATTTCAAGAAAAGGCTGTCAGCATCAGATTTCTTTAATGGTTATCTCCATCAGAGCGTGCTGAAGAAATCTCCCTCCACAAACAGCTGTCTGTTCCAGAGTTATAAAGAGACTCATTTACCTGGAGGACACAACAATAACATGCTACTGCGGAATAACACTTCGTTGTGACACCTGACTTTATCACAATCATGAATAATAACATATAATCACATGAACTGTCATGCCATTGAAAACATGTAGCCTGTTTTAAGACAATGTTGTATTTAATAGTGGACTGTATGTTTGCAGATCTCTGCACATTTGTATAGCCGTGACATACATGGATGTGAATGCAATAAAATTATTTTGGAGATGTCAATTTAAATGGTTGTTTTGTTTGATCTAGATTTACTGACCAGCTACACACGAATTCATCATGATTATTTGTTTTTGATCTAAAATATTACACCGTTTTAGCAAGAGAAAACGCTGAGTCCCGCTGCTGCCACATAAGTCCCGCCCTGCTTTCGCCTCATTCGTTAGTCGCGGCTGTCTGTCTGCAAATCCTGCTCTCTCATTGGCTGAAAGCATTGTGTAGTTTGCGTCAGATGTAACGTTTGGTTTCATTTACAACCTGTCAAATCCGAGGACAGCTGTGAAACGGTCGACACCGCCTCGCGTATCACGTAGTAAGTCATCACTACAAAATGCCGTATATGTCCGTATTTTTGCATGAAACCAAAGAGCTTTAATATTGCCCAAACTAAGTTTAATTAGCTTCCGTTGTCATTCAGTTCTCATAATAGCTGAAGAAAAGTGTCTTGTTTACGTTGAGCTAACGAGTAGCCGTATTGCTAGCTAGCGAGCCTACACAGCCACATCACGACTTCTCTTAAATATTTATAAATGGAAAGCGGCAAGAAATTAAATGAATTCTATTTATTCCCCGTGGTACTGTTTAGGGTTTCGTTAGGCTTGTTTGTGTTCTGTTCGTTTGCTCATGTTATAATTGGAAAGTCAGTGCAGTGTTCATTGGTATAGAGATTTAAAACTGTTGCCTAGTAACCTGATACGTAGATTGTGCTGTCACAGTTACACGTGTAATACTATGGCTTTAGACATTAGTCAAACACGCTTTATGTGTAATGTAAAATGTCATAGACGATGACTTTCCTCATAAACTGATCAACATACGTGCCAGCTTTAGTTATCAGTAGTTGCATAGACAGTATATAACGTGTTCTGTGAGAATGCAGCTAATGCATGGCTTATGGCCAAGATGTGTTAGAAGTTCCTCGAGCAATTGAACAGGTGTAAATAGGGGATTTTAAGCGTCTAATACTTCTGAACGTCTAATACTTTGTGCAGCAGAAGGATAATCGAGTTAAGTATGGAACCAGCTTTACCCAAAATAACATCTGTGCTAAGAATGGATTCAAACTGTGGTCAAAGGGAAATAATAACTGAATTGTTTCAGCTTATTTGCTCTCAAAGAATTTGTCTTCATTTTATTGAATTTTTTTCAAGTATCTCTGATAAATGTCTTTGGAAAAGTGAACGCTTATAGTTTGGGGCTTACAGTGTTACAATCTAGATTTAAAACTCTTCTTCTCAGTCTTGTATTCTTGATATGAGGTTTCTCAGGCTTAAATCTAATTAGTTTACAGGATAATTAAACTGTTCAGGCTTGCTACCACCTTCATTGTGTTGGTTGATGTATAAAAAAAAAAAAAAAAGAGAGGGGGGGTTCAATCTTCAACTGGCTGGCAGGATAACAGTTTCCTCCAGTCAGACTTTTTAAGCTATGAGTATGCCTATGCGTTCCCCACCACTCCTGCTGCAAGGAAATGCATAATTTTATTATTGTGAATATGTTCTTTTGAATGTATTTTTAATATAATATAGGTTTAAGGAGGTTTAATTAGTAGTCTAATGGCTGTGATCGCGATTGGTGGGTTACTGATGCCGCTTCCATCCAGCCAGCTGCCAGTTTAACGACTCTTACTGCAGTGAAATTAATTGTTTTATTATTATTAATGTATTCTTATGAATGTACTCTTTTATATCATAGGCGTATACAGGGCTCGACGCTTACTTTTCTTTTTAGGAGCACTTGTGCTCCTAACTTAAAAAATTTAGGAGCACGTTCAAAATTTTAGGAGCACCTTCTAATCAATAATCCAAAATGTTATCAAAAAGTAGCCTTCCCATTACGAGGTAATATTTGACTCCTCTAACTTTATTAAAAGTATGTCATCTTTTGTCAAATTCTTAAATTATATTTTATATGATCCCGACTGGTGGGTTGCCTACTTTTCAGTCTAGCCAGCTGCTATTGAGCTGCGAGTTTAACGCATTCCATATGACTCTCACTACAGTTTAATTCATTGTTTTATTATTATTAATGCATTCGTTTGAATCTATTACTTTATATGATTGACGTTTAAGGAAGATTCATCCCGATTAAAGCCGTCAAATTGCCATGATCCCGACTGGTGGGTTACTGACACTTTAGTCTAGCCAGCTGCTATGAAGCTGCCAGTATAACACGTTCTCTACCACTCCCGTTGCAAGAAAATTAATTATTTTATTATTATGTATAGGCTATATTCATATGAATCTATCATTTTATATGATATACGTTTGAGGGAGGTTTATCCCAATTAAAGGGGTCAAATAACTGTTATCCTGACTGGTGGGTTACTGACACTTTAGTCTAGCCAGCTGCTATGAAGCTGCCAGTATAACACGTTCTCTACCACTCTCTCTGCAAGGAAATATATTATTTTATGATTATTAATATATTATTATAAGTCTAGTTTTTTAAACTGTGGATATTTTAGGGAGGTTTATCACAAATAAAGTGTTCAAATGGCCGTGATCCAGACTGGCAGGTTATTGCCGTTTGCACTGGCTGCTCAATCGACCAGCCGCAAGAGCGCTCCGAGTTTAACGCGTTCCCTACCATTGTCTCTGCAATTAACTATATTATTTTATGATTATTAATATATTATTATAAGTCTAGTTTTTTAAACTGTGGATATTTTAGGGAGGTTTATCACAAATAAAGTGTTCAAATGACCGTGATCCCGACTGGTGGGTTACTGCCGCTTCAGTGCAGCCAGTCACTTTCAGCTCCGAATTGAACGGGTTCCATATCACTCCATAAAACATAGAATATGTAAACTAATAAAGTCATATGAACAGATGTACAATAATTTTTATTATTATTATTCCTGTATAGAGTGGAAGGAGAGCAACATAAATCTGCCATAAATCAATGGTTCCTGACAGTGGACTTCCAGCCGCCAGGCAGCCAACCACTGGCAGATCATGTGACCTGACAGAATCAGACTGCCAGCTGCCAGTGGTCACTGGTGCTGCTAATCAGTTAGGGATTGAACCCCTAATGGAGTTTAAGTTGGCTTTCTTTTATAGAATTATTAAAAAGCATTGCAGTTTGTCCTGTTGTCGCTGAAATTACTTAATGAGAAAGATTCATGTTATTGGGATAATTCACGTTTTAATAGGCATTTTTATGCTTTACATTATTGCGTAACAAATGTTATTACATAACATAAATCGTAAAATCGTCACAACTAGTGGCAGTATCCATACAAATTATAATGATTTCCTTGGAATGAGAGGCAGCAGCGGCTGGCTGGTTGGTTGACCGTCCAGCGAAGCATCAGTAAGCACATTCATTTGACTGCTTTTATTGGGGGGAAAAAACGAAAACGTCAATCATACAAAATAATAAGAATATAGTCATAATAAAAAAAAATGTATTTCCTTGCAGTGAGAGTGATATGGAACGCGTTATACAAGCAGCTCAGCAGTGGCTGGCTGGTTGAGCATCCAGAGAAGAGTCAGTAAGCAACCAGTCGTGATCATGTTCATTTGACTGCTTTAATTGGGATAAACCCACCTAAAACGTCAATCATACAAAAGAATAGAGTCATAAGAATATATTTATAATATTAAAATAATGTATTTTCATTAGGGATGCACGATATATCGGCCACCATATCGGTATCGGCCGATAAATGCTCATTTTTTCTGTTATCGGTATCGGCCTGATAAGAAAATTTGGCCGATATCTTAAAGCCGATAAATAATGCATTATTTCCTTCAGAGACACTTCAGATGCGCGCTGTTCGTTTGCAGCCTTTTGTGCAATTGTACGTTGTAATATTGTGTTTATTTGATGTATATCTGATTTATCTCATATAGAATGCGTTTGGTTAAGTTAAAAGAGCGCTTCAGTTTACCGGTGATCATCTTTAGCTCAGCGCACGCAGCTCAAACAGCAGTGCACAACATTAATAACTATGATTGGGAATGTCGTGTATATAAAATTCTAATGAGAACATTATTATAATAAAACGTTGTGAATTCTTTGGGTTTAGTTGCCGTGTTTCAGCGCGTTGATATGGGAAGAGCACATCCACAACAGGATCACACATTCTGACAAATTAAAAGACTAGACCCATAAGAATATATTAATAATCATAAAATAATATATTTCTTTGTAGAGAGAGTGGTAGAGAACGCGTTAAACTCGGAGCACTCTTGCAGCTATCTGACTGAGCCGCCAGTGGAAGCAACAATAACCAAACAAGTTGGGATCACGGTTAGTTAAACACTTTAATCGCGCTAGAATCCTCTAAAACATCAATCATGTAAAAGTAAAGAACTGAACAGGTTCACAATAAGAAATTGCACAAAACACAAAATCTGCCGAAAATTTATGGTTGCTGAAACTTGTTAAGGCATACTGCCAGCGGTAGGCTTTATACTCGCAGTTTAACCATGGCTGGCTGGATTGAGCCGTTAGTGGAAGCGACAATCAGCTGGCAGTTGGGATCACGGCCATTTGG